TTTAGATAATTGAAGTTTTTTGTTTTTTGTTTTTTTTTTTTGATAGAATATTTGAAGCATTTATTAAAGGATTTTATTAACGTGTACATATTAAAAAGCTTAAGGCTCTACATGAATTGTAATGAAGCAGGTACAATATTTTTAAACTTGTTCATCATGTCTTAAAAACACACTTTAACAAAACTCTTTACTAAATAAATTTTGAAAAATATACCAACATATTGTTTGTGTCATTTATGAGATTTTTTAGATTTCTTTGTAAATATTTTTTTTTAAAAAAAATCATTAAAAATAAAAGAATATAAATAAGGGAATATTAGTCTACCATCCCTCTCTAATTTTTAGTAATGGAATAGATCCACAATATTTTATTGTGTAGCCTTAAGATCCCTCACCCGCATACCCTTATATCACAACTACACTCTCATTCTCTCTCTACTCTCCTCTGTCTCTACTCTCTCCTCTCTCTCTCTCTCTCTCTGTCTTTAGGGTTTCAATTGGCGCGAGAGAGAAAAGGAAGACAATGGGACAATGATTGCACCGATGAAGATTCCAATCACTAACCCAAAACTTGCAGCACGTCGTAGAATAATAAGTGAAGCAAGAAAGAAGCAGAGAAAGCATGCGATGGTTGTTGCCATCGCGACAGCAGTTGCAGCTGCAATAGCCCGTGCTGCAGCTGAAGCTGTCCGGCTCATAGGTGTTCCTCAATCTTTTAAACAATACGAGAAGTGGACTCAGAATTTGGCTGCTACTAAAATATAAGCTGCTTACAAGGCTCATCTTGTAAGTTTCTTAGAACTCTTTGATCATTTCTGGCTTATATAGTTTTTGTTTTACATTGATTTTTCTTAAAACAAATTAGAACTGAAAACATGATGCCAACAATTGAGTTTTAGGTTCTCCTGTCTTAACATGTTAATCATGCAAGGATGAACATTTCTTTTGGATATGTCGTTTCGATTAGCTTGGAGATGGAAACATATATTGGAAACATTTCGAAAACAGAAGGAAAATGAGAAAATAAATTTTATCTTCTCCTTTCAATCTCTCATTTTCTTCTTTTCTTATTTGTCCTTATACTCAATTTTCTCTAGTTTAAAATTGTGAACAAAAAATTTCTCTGGTTTGATTAAAATTTCTCTTGTTTGGTTAAAACAATTTCTTTGGTTTTAAATCATTGTGATAAAATTCTCTGATTTGTTTAAAACAATTTTCTCTAGTTTAAAATTGTAAACAAACACAGAGAAATTTGTGAACAAAGCTAAAGAAATTTCAATTCTCTGTGAACAAAACTAGAGAAATTTTAATTTTCTTTGATTTGAACCTAGAGAAATTTTGAATTTCTCTGGAGAGAATTTCTCTGAATCGATATTGAAGGATCTTAGACATTATGAAAATATTAGATATCCTTTATACTATAAAATCTTGATACCAAAGATCTTTAAAAAAAAAAAAAACCCTATAAAGAACAATGAAAATAAAAACAATTTTTCAAAAACTAAACCAAAAATTCCGACGTCACAATTTAACAATTTTCTATAAGGGTGTGTTTGATTAGACAGACTGGATAAGGGGAGATTAGAATTCATTGAACTTGAATCTTGAGACTGTGAATCCCTCGGACTATTTAGTTGAATTAGATGTGTATTTCGTATTTGTTTTCCCATGAGATTAGATGTCTAAAAATGACTATTTTTAATAAATTTAATGTTTGGTTAGACGAACTGGATAAGGATAAATATTCGAAAGACTATTTTATCCTTGTAATTTATAATTGATATTTTTATTTAATATATAATTTTAAATTTATAATCTATAATTTTATCCTTGTAATTTGTAATTTATAATTTATATTTTTTATTTAATATATAATTTTAATTTATATTTTTATTTGATACATAATTTTAAATTTATTATTTTTAATTTTTAATTTATATTTTTTATTTAATATGTAATTTTAAATTAACAACACTAAAAAAATAATTTTATTTAATATACAAATTTAATTTTTTAAGAATACTAAAAAAATTTAATTTTTAAGGCCATAATTTTTAATTAAATTTAATATTTAATTTATAATTTATATTTTTTATTTAATATATAATTTTAAATTAACAACATTAAAAAAATAATTTATAAATATTCAAAAGACTATTTTACCATTTTCAAATTGTTTACTGAGGATAAAATAAACCTTTCACATATTAGTTCCATGGAACACCAATTCCATGAAAATAATCCCACCCCCGATTGTTTAATCCCACATATAGAGAATAAGAAGTCCAGCCGAATTCCATATTCGATGGACTAAAAAAAAATGTTAAATTATCCACTTTGAATAAATCATAATCCAATCCCACCCTTAATCCCCAATCAAACAACTGAGGGTGATTGTGACTGCCTCCAAGTTTAAGAGGTCCCCCACCGCGGGCCCTGGAAGGACTTTTAAATGTACCCCTAGAAAGATGGTCACAATTATTGCCAACCAAATTTTGATTTTTTTGGAAAACTAATGTATAATAATAGGAAAATTATATAATAGTCTCAGGCTATACGTGGTCATACTACCTCACTAATTACTATTCATTATATCCCTTTACACTCTTCAATCATTCAACAAAAATAATTATGACTTCACTTTTTCTACCAATCATACTACGAGTATCACACGACCATACTCTTAGACTACCGAATAATCACCCTAATAAGTGAGATGGTAGAGAAATTATTCAACATTTCTAGACTAAATTCAAGTGGTATATTAAAGGATTAATTGGTTAAAAGTCTATTTTATAAAACCATATGTTGTTTGGTCTAAACTTGAATCTGTTTTGGTAATAAGAACATGAGTTGAAATGTCACTGAAAAAAATTGCTAGCACCGGAAAAGTCATCAGAAGGTTGTCGATGGTCGGCAATTGGTGGCAATAAAGTAGACAGATAAGTGAAAAGACAGGTGACACGAATATAAATAGGTAACATTTGAGCAGATAAGCAACGCCTATATAAATAGGTGACATTTTGGACAAATGAGTGACATTTGAATCGATAGGCAGGTAAATTTTAAACAGATATGTTCCTTTTGAACAAATAATATCTTTTTGGTCCAAAAAAAATTTAAGATTGGGCCTTGACTCGAAAGTTTAAGGAAGAAATTTTTAGACCAAGTGTTCTATTTTAAATTAGTAGTTATTGATTTAAATTATAAAATTTATTATTTTTGTAAAAAGTGATAAATATCAGCCTCTGATCGATGACTGCGCCACCAGCTTTGAATAATTTTCTGGAGATGGTGACCTTAACGTTGTGTTACAAACTCTAGTCATTGAAAGAGTCCTACTCCCTCTAAATAATGCCCTAAGATTTGATGTGAAACTAATAAGAGATGTTGATGCAAATCCTTATTTTTAGCTTGGGAATTGTTTATACGTAATTTTCCTTCTTGATTTCGTTAACAGTTCTAAAAAAAAAAAAAAAAGTTTTTTTTTTTAAAAAAAAAAAAAAAAAAAAGCTATTTTTTTTTAAAAAAAAAATTCCTGTCATTTTCACTCTTGATCCGTTAAATCTTGCTTACATCTTTAACCTCAAAATCTTGATCATGTTGTTTTGGAGAAAATTTTATTTTTTTCTCTCATACTATCATTTAAAAATCAATTCAATACATTTTCTTTTAATTATATTAATTTTATATTTAAACTATTCGATTTTAGATCAATTTTACCATTTTCATTAGATGTCGTCCAAATCCGACCAAATTTGCTAGCGTGGCATTAAAACTTGATCTAAAAATTTATTTTATTTCCTAAACTATCTCCAAATACCAATTATATCCTTGAATATATTTGAAAAATTAAATTTAGGTATTTAATAATAATTTTTCAATTAAAAAAGTGAAAAAAAAATAATTTTAAATAAAAAGATATTCTTGACCTTGTTAAGCACTTTTTTTTTGTTTTTTTTTTTTTTTGGTTATTTTAGAGTTTGGTTTCAACTAATATATGTAGAGTAAGATTATTCACTTTTAATTAATCATTTCATGTGTCAGCACATTATTAATGTAATGAATCTTAAGACTCGTATTGATCAGCATATTATTGATGTCAACATTCGTATTAATCTCCAATGTAATGTTGACATATGAGATGGTATGATAAAGGTGATATAAAAACGAAGTTGCTTCCCGGCTCATAGTGTTGTCCAGTCCTGTGGGATCCACCACAAATCTTGTTTCGATAATATGACTGTTGGATCAACTCAACTTTTTTGTGAATGACATATAATGAATACTGTAGATCATTAAAACGAGACTGATGATGAACCCCACAATCTCAAACATGCCCGTAATCTAGATTAGAAGGAATCCACCTCCATGTAAAAATGTGATTAGCATTACTCATGTATATATAGTCCACTTGTGTCCTAGATATAGTCTTTGACCAAATCATCCAAACAAATCCGTGGTGATCTTCGGGTCTGAACAGTACCTTCTAATTCACATACCGAAAAGAAGTACCTTTTTCAAAATGCAATTGTACACTCCTGAGAAAGGCAATTATTGTTTTGTTAGAATTTATTCCTCATTATGCAGCTTTCTTTTTCGTAATATAGGTTTAAAAACACTAGTTACCTGATATGGAATAGAAGTCTATCCTCTCAATCATATAACAGCAGCTAGCTTGCATTCTTCTTGGGATATTTTTATGGGAAGGAACAGCTGTGAAGCAGCCAAGGGCCATGCCATCCCAATTTCAAACATAAATATAAACCACCATAACATCATGATGCATTGCATGAATAGTATAATACAATATTCAAATACTATAATAAAGTAGTAGTAGGTGTGTATCCTAAAAAAACAACCCATTCTCTTTCATTCCACAGCTTGAGATTCACCAAAACCATTCACAGCACAAAGTCTTCCATAACTACCCTTTACAAAAGCACCCTTCAAAAAGAAAGAAAGATTTTTTTTTTTTTTTTTTTGATAAAAAAAAGAAGAAGAAAAATAAAAAAATAAAAAAAGCCTGGAATCTAGATTACATGAGGAAACAAAAATACCTACAGTAGCACTATTCTTCATAACAACGTTACATATCCAGAAAAACACTCTAAATTCAAAATGTATAGAATCAGATACCTCCATGGCTTAGCCTAGCACGACACCCAAATTTAAATTCTACCCCTTACATTTAAATTCTAGACACTTCTCTCTCTGGATATATATTTTAATATTGAAGTATTTGAAGATTGATGCTGATGAGTTGAGGCGGAGCTACATGATAGAGCAGGCATTTGGGTTGTCATCACTGAACATGGAGATGTAGGGATCTTCATATCTGGTAACAGTGGCACTGGTTGGGTTCTCAACCCTTCTGACATAGCCAGGAGGTGCCTTCTTGTCATAAGTTTGGGCTGCGTAGGGCTGAGTCACTAGGTTGTAGGGTATATAGGGCCATATCTCAGCCCTTTTCCCTGTTGACTTTGCCTTCTTCAACACCTTGTTTGCCTCAACATATCCATTCACTGTCACCTTCTGTTGCTTCCTGTTTATATCCACTGATTTCACTCCTACATAACAAAATAATAATCACCCAACAATTAATTCATCACCCTTTAAATTCTATTCATCATCACTTATACATCATTTAAAAATAATAATAATAATAGAAAATGAGACACAATACACTTCAACGGACAAGATTTGACAGTGTTTGTTAGCAAAATTCTTGAAAAAATTTATCTATTGAAAAATACAAAGAACATAGAACTAGGCAGAAACTTCTAATTTAGTAAAAAAATTGTGTCGGATTCTGTGATAATTTTGTGTTTCCAAAAACAATATATATTTCGTGTCCGATTTTGTAGCTGATTTTTATGTTCATAAACTTGTTCAATTTTTTTATTTTTATTTTTTTATTTTTTCTACCTAAAGAAAATAATGTTTTTTGTTGAAAGAAGAGAGTATACCACTTAATGAAGAGAGAGCTTTCTTGACTTTGAGCTCACAACCATCACAGTCCATCCTGACTTTGAGCTCCACAGTTTGTAATTGCTTCCTCTTCTTCTTGTGTTTATGGCCACTGCTCATCAGCTCAGAAATGTACTCCAAAGTTCCTCCCACTCCCATTTTTTGTATTGTTAAAATTCTCTTTTAAGCAAATGGTTCCAAGAAAAAAAGAGCTTAAAACATGAAAGCAAAACCTTCAATATTTGCTTTGTATCAAAATAACAAAAACCCAAAAGAGAAAATTGTTTTGGGGACCAAGTTTTGAAGGAGAGATGGCAAATGAGAGACACCAAAGGGAAAGGGAAATTAATACTTGGGTTATGAGGAGATATGAGAAGTGAATATATAATACCCAAAAAAGAGAGAGAAAAGAAAGGAAGGTTTTGAAATGAGGACTCCCAAGACTTTGCAAGAAACTTCCCTCCAAGAATGGATTCCTTCCTTGCCTTACAACAAAGTTAAGAGGGGAAAAGGCTCCAATGGCTGCACGCTCCTTAATAACTTTCTTTCTTTTGCTACACCTTCCTCTCCTCTGAGATATTTCTTTAACACAGGCCTACTTCTTATATAGGCATTTCTCTCATAAGTTCAAACATAGGGGGAAAATAAAGGTAGTGGCCCCCCACCCCCAAAAACAACACCTACCAAAAGCTTTAGCAAACCTGATTTGTTTTTTTGCTGCTACTTGTTCTTAATCCCACAATATAATATGGTTAACCCAGGGGTGGGGTGGAGTGGTAAGGACTCCTCCTCCCTTAACTAACTGTCGGGGGTTCGATTTCCGCTTGGGCATGGAGTAGCCTTAAATCTTTGGACCAGTTATTTCACCTTTTTTTGGTGCTTACAATCAGCGAAGGGATTAGTCTCCGCGGTCGGCGGAGGATACTCTGGGAGACCAAAAAAAAAAACAATATAATATGGTTTAATATGGTTTTTTTTTTTTCTTTTTTTTTGGCAAAATTTAGGAGTTGTTTGGAGTGTCCTAAATAAGTGTATTTTTTGTCTTTTTGAACTAAAAAATTGAGGAAGAAAATATGGATGTTTGAGTTAATTTTTTGACTTTTTATGAAAAAATATGTAATAAAAAATTATAAAAATTGATTTGTAGAGAAAAATTAAGATTGAGGATTATACTGCCGTAATTGTTGACTTTGGTGAATAGTATTAACTTTTTAATTTTTTAAATAACTTTTTAATTTTTTAACTTTTTTACAATATATCAAACTTGACCTTAGTTTACTCGCTTGTGGTTTGACTACAGTGTACTTTATTCCCTCAGGATTCAAATATGAGCAGGAATTCTTCTGTAGTTTTAGATTAAAGTGTTATGATTAATTTTTTCGTTAAAAATAACGGTCAATGTGTCACACTTTCCCAAATTAAGAGTAAATAATGAAAAAATTCTAAATCAAAATAAAAAAATTAAATTAAATGTCAAAAATATCCTCATATTCATTTTATTCTTCAAATTAAATCTTAATCCTAACCAAACAATAATCTTAATTGTCATCTTCTATCAATAATTTAATTTAAAATATTATTAAATGAGAAATTGAGCTAAAAATTAATATTTAGATTAAGATAATTTTATGGTAATAAAGTAAGGTATTTTAGGTTAATTTATGGTTTAATTTATTTTATATATATCTATGCAAATATTTAATTTAAAATGTTATTAAATAATAAAGCAAGTTAAAAATTAAAAATTAAATTAATGTAATTTATGATTTAATTTTATGTTAATGAATGATATTTAGGTTAATTTATGATTTAATTTGTTTTATATATATATATATATATATATATGCGTGTATGTTTAATTTAAAATGAGATTAAATAATGTAATTTTATGATAATAAATTAGGGTGTTTAGTTTAATTTATTATTTAATTTTGTTTATTTTAAAATGTTATTAAATAAGCAATTAGATTAAAAATTAAAAATTAAAACTTAGATTAAGGTAATTTTATGGTTAATAAATTAAGGTGTTTAGATTAATTTATAATAATTTTACGTTTAATTAAAAAAGTTATTAAATAGGTTTAAAATTAAAAAAAATAAAAAATAGTTTAAGGTAATTTTATGGTAATAAATCAAGATGTTTAATTTAATTCATGATTTAATTTGTTAAATATGTGATTAAGATAGAAAATTATATATATTAGAGAAGAGAGAAAGAGAATATAACATAGGGATATTTAGGTAATTTTGTCTTTATTTTTAACAAAGTTAATTTTGCACTTTAATCCGAAATCATAAAGGGATTCTTTGCCTATATTTGAATTATAGGGGGGATAAAATGCTCCAAAACCGAACCACAAGAAGGTAAAATAGATTTTAGCCTTCTTTTTTTTATTAGGAATTGCTAATGACCATTCAAATTATTTATTTTTTTAGGGTAAATTACAATGACCACTTTTAAGTTTGAAAAAAATATAGTAAGTCCTATAATTTTGACATGATTATACTAATTGAAACTAATGCAGATGTTATAAAAATACAAAAATAAATTGTAACATAAACTATACATTTTTGTATAATAGATATGACAATATGATCTTTTCATCTATATAACTAACAAATTATTGATGAAAATTAGAGTAAGAATTATACAAATTAAAATCACAATGGAACTAATGCAATTATATCAAATCTGTAAGGCTTACTATATTTTTATCTAAATTTCAATGGACGTTGATTAATATACGAAATCTGTGAGGCTTACTCCTTAAAAAACCATATTTTTTCCTAAATTGATCCAACTTCAATGGACTAAATTACACTAATGTAACTATATCAAATCTGTGAGTTAAAATTGATCTAACTAAAATTATAGGAACGAAAATGACATAAGGATCAAAATATAAAGATTACCGTTGTAATTTATCCTTAAAAAAATTAATAAAAGAAAATTATCCGAATATGCAAAAAGAACTAATTTTTTTAAAATTTACTTTTAACCAATAAGCTAACCTTTTATCTAATTTTCAATTGAAACTTAAGATCAAGGTAGGCGTATTAACTTCGAACCACACTATAATTCTTTTGACCAAAGCACTATGATTAATTTGTGCGAAAATAGTACAAGATTGCAAAATTAAAATAGAGTCTTGTTAATGAAGTTTCATAAGGGAATTGGTTACCAAAATGAAAAATAATGGTTTATATTTTGGAGGAGAATTCCCATCCGTCCAAAATCTAAATTGGAGAGACTTGTTTAGGCTCATGGAATCTACTACGAGTCTCGTTTTGACAATTTAAACTATTCATTTTATTAGACAAATAGGTCGATCTAATAACTGTTACTTCTCTAATTTTTCGTATTTTTCACTAAAACAAGAGACAACAATTGTGTTTTTTAAAAATGTATCATACATTTTTTTTTATGACAAAAATAATAAATTAAATAAGTTGCAATAATCGGATCAACCCAATTTTTTTTATGGATGAAATACATGAAGTGCTAGATAAAATAAACGATTTGAATTATCAAAACGGGTCTCGTGATAGGCCTCACGGGCCCAACCAACTCCCTCCAGTCTAGATTTTGAACTGGAAGGAATCCTCATCTTTATATTTTTATAGCTTGCACCTTTTAGGAAAATTCTCTAGTATATGTGGCCTTACGATAAAATTACATAAGTTTTTACAAATTTACATAAGTAATCTCACAAAAATGCATAAATTAAACACAAATTCACATAAGTTCGTAAAAATTTACATGATGCGAATTTGTATTCAATTTACGCATTTTTATAAAATCACTTGTGTAAATCTGCAAAACATTACATAAGTTTATGATAAAATTACATACAATATACACTACACTAAAATATTTCCCCATGATGTATAATTATTTTAAGTTTGTGAATAAGCTAAGCTGAAATATTTTCCTATGATGTATAATTATTTTAAGTTTGTCAATAAGTTCTAAGATATTTGTTAACAAAATTTTTAAAAAATGCTTAGAATTGTCTAACAGGTACCTCGAAACTCACACTGGTTATCATTTTTACTTGGCATAGCCTTTTCCTCTTCTTTTTTATCCCTTCAGAGCAGATGAACCTTTTCATTTGGTTATTTTTAAGACAAACTTAGTGGGAATTGATACTATATACACCTAAAAAAGGTGTTTACTTTATGATATGCATTTCTATTTTTAATCGTTAGATCTAAAAAAAAATGAATTTGAGCTGTTGATCATTATCACATTTAGCAATAACCAATATTATTTGGAGCATAGTGAAAGACAACTTTGGCCGTAATTATCACAATTAATTTTAATTTGATAATTTATTAGCTCTAATAATTGTTTTGTTTTTATCATAAAGTCATAGTTAATGAAATATAAGTACAAATCATTATTTTAAAGAAATATTTTTTTTTAACCTTTCTGCTTTTTCTATCTTTATTTTTTTTTTTTACTACTCTCACATGATCCTTGGAGTCGAAAAAGTCAATGGTGAGCTGCAGCAGTGCACAAGTGGATACCTGAACAAGTAAGAGAAATGTGGTTTTTCAATAAAATAAAATTTAAATCAATTACTCAAAAATTTCAAATTTTGATTATATATGGTAGGATAAATTACAGTCACCTCCCTTGAAGTTCCTGAAAATTACACTGGTCTCTCATTTTTATGAAATTACATTGACTTCCACAGTGACTAATGATGTTAATAACCATTAAATGTGCGATTATTATTTTGGTTATACATGGTTATGACTTAAAAAAAAAATTGTTATGATATTTAAGGTAATTAGCACCACAAATATTTTAACTTGTATGTAGTACACATAAAATAGTGTGTATTCTAGAAAAATCTAGTGTTATGACAAAACTGATAATGAAATAAATTTAAAAAATTAATTACATAAATATAAGATAAGTTATCTAGCAGTTTTTAATCAATATTTGACATCACACAGTCCAATTGTTTAAAAAAAAAAAAAAAGATAAAATTGATAAGCCTCACTATCTAAAATGAAAAAAAAAAAATTTAATTGGGACACCACATGTATTTATTTGAATAGTATTAAATAATATTTCTCACATGGTTTGACTACAAATATATATATTATTGCATTATATCCATACAAGTTTTTGTATTTTTCATTTGACTTTAATAATTTATACTAATTTGTTTATCTAAAAAATGATTAATTAATTTCTTTTCTTTTGATTTACCGATAATCATTTCAAATGTTATACAAACCAAATTAAAATCATCAAACGTGCTAATCTAACAATTAATCATTAACTTTTATCCAAAATTAAAAAGAATAATAATAAAAAAATAAAACAAACAGAACTGTTAGTTAAACTAAGGATCAACTAACGGAACAGGTAATCTGCAAATTAAAATAAATCTCAAAAGAAGTTAATATAATTTTAAGAAAGAAAAGAAAAAAAAAATCAACATAATTATCAGAAATCTAAAGGAGGGCTTATACGATAACATAACCGAACTTCAACAGTGGTAAGTGCGAAACATTGAAATATTGGGGCAATGCACCTAGAAAAAGACTTGGGGATGGTGAAACCTCAAAGACAGCAATCATCTTTGG